TATATATATATATATATATATATATATATATATATATATATATATATATATATATATATATTTAAGTGTCTAAATTATGCAATGCTATAGAACCAAAACTCATCCCAGAGTCATCATCATTAGGATTTTGGGCAAATTGCATTGTCTCTAAGTAATCTTCTGAGTTTTCTTGACTACTTTTCTGGCTTGGAATTGGGCTTGGGTCTTTAATCATATGTTTTTCTTGTTCCTGTTTTTGTTTAAGTAATTTTTCTAATGTCTAGGTAATGAGAAATTCTATGTCTTTAATTTTCTGGGCTTTTTTAGTTTTCTGTTTCAGGTTTTGGGTAAAAAATAGTAGTAGTCTTCGTCTATTCTTAAAAGAAGTTGAACTTTATTCATTTTCACTTTTTGACAAAGTGACAGCCATAAAAGGGTTAGATAAGTCTTTACCGGTTACCATTTGAACTGGACTAGCTGTATCTTCATTCCATACAGTGAATTTCTTAACATCCAGTGGGGAATGCACACTCATCTCATCCATTTTTATTAGGGATGGAAAACCCTGTATATTTGTCTGAATTTGTACATCTTGTTTAGTCTGACCTTTGCTTTCTATTCTTTGGAGTTTTTTCTTGAGCATTCTTCGGAGTTTTTCCCTTAGCTTAGCAATAATCACAAAATATTACTTTGTATCCTTTTGGATGTTGTATTGTGGAGTTTTATCTGGGTTTTGTCTAAGGGATGGAGAGATATAGTAATTTGGTCCTAATATCCCTCTAGCATAGTCTAAAACTTCTGTAAAATCATTAAAACCATTAAAAAGAGTTTTTTGAAAATCTTTAATAGAGTCTAAAACTTCCATCCATGTCTGAAAAATACCATTTGTTTTACCATGAATTATCAAATAATATTTAAATTAATTTTCTTTATTTTTGTTAGTAAAATAATATCCTAAAGCATTTAAAACAGCAATTACATATTTAGTGTCTTTTTTATTATGTGCTATCCATATATTATCTATGAGGCATGTTTGCGGTTTGTCTAGTTGACAATTAGGCAAATGTGTGAATGTCCAGTTAGACGGTTCATATGCTATTAAGTTTTGTTGTCCAAACTGCAGTCTTTCTATTCTGACATCATCAATTTTGTTTAGATGTCTAAAATATAACTTTGATAACATTGTCTGTTTGTAAGAGTCTGCATAGTCTGGGGTTGAAGGTTGAACTCTCTTACCATTGTCTGGTAGTAATGGTCTCATTCTGTAAAATTAAAACTTTTATTAGTAATCTACTTAATTGATCGGCTATATGATTATCCTTTTCTTTTATATGCTCAAATACAATAGATTGATAAATAGATATAGTATCTAAAAAATTTAACCATCATCTTCTACTACTACTTTTACCTTTAATTTTCTGATGAAATTTTACTATAGCTCCAGAGTCTGTCCTTACTATTATCTCAGGTTTGTTTAAAATGTATATTCTAAAACTATTCATGTCAAATATTACAGTTAAGATTTTAATGTCTATGCTAGCTTTATTTTTTTTCCTTTATATTTTCAACTTTGGTAGACACATATTCTTTCTTCTTTGTCAGGACTATATTTATGAGGTCTGGCTTTTAATACTACTCTTCATCCTTCTAAACTCCATCTGTTTCGATAATTAAATAATCTGATTCTAAAGGCATATTAAGATCAGAAATATTTCTTATTTTATCCTTTTTTGTACTAACTTTATATCTTCTTTATTAAAATTTCTCTGTCCTTTGATTCCTATCTTAGAAAATAATAGTCCTGCAAGTTTTCCTAAATCTTTAATAAATGGTCTGGCATAATTTATTATTCCTAAAATATTTTGTAAATCTTTTAAACAATTTAATCTATCTGACACATCTAAGGTTTTTTTTGGCTATATGAGGTTGTAGTTTAATTTTCCTTCTCCTAATATAATTCATAAAAAATTTATGGAATTCTTACATAATCCCATTTTGTTTTACTAATTACCATCCCATTATTAACAAATAACCTAAACACCGTCTGTAAATGTCCTACCTGTTCTTTTCTATCTTTACTGAATACTAATATATCATCTACATATACAAGAACAAATCTTTTGTATTCTCCAAATATTTTATCCATTTTTCTTTAGAAAATTGGAGGCGCAACTTTTAAACCGAATGACATGACTAACCATTCAAAATGTCCTTCTGGACATGTAAAGGTTGTCCTTTCAATACTGTCCGCATCTTTATCTGCCAATATCCTGATTTACAATCAAACTTACTAAACATTCTTTTTCTTTGTATTCTTTTTATTAGTTCTATTTTATCTGGTAATTTATATTCATCTGTTCTAATGTTATCGTTTAATCTTTTATAATTTATTACCATTTCTAGATTTTCCTCTAACTATTTCATTATGATTTCTTACCATAAATGCTGCCGATCTATGTTTTGAGGTTGATTTTTTTAGTACTCCTAACTCTAATAGTTCTTTAATTTATATACTAATCTTATAGATCTTGATTGGTTGCTTCTAACTCTAATAGTTCTTTAATTTATATACTAATCTTATAGATCTTGATTGGTTGCTTCTACCGCAACAGTTTTTATTATATATTCAAAATTTATAATGTCTAGTTTACACACAAAATTTTCCTAATCTTATAAAAGTTTTTCACCTATTATTTCTATTTGATCTAGGATTTCTATAATGTTATCTAAGTCTTGTTTGTTTTTTATTTGTCCTCTTTTTTGAATTTCTGTTTTGAAATTATATAATTCTGTTGCCATTTCTATTAAGACATAATTTTTGTCTAACTTATCTAAATCTTCTAACTCTTCTATTTCTGATATATTTTCAGATATTATATTACAACCTATTAAACTGCATGTTGAATTATTTTTACAACTATCGTAATATTTTTCTTTTAAGGTGTGTCTTATTTTAGTATTAGGTTTACTAGTTAAAATCGATGTATGAGTGATACTTTTTTAG